TTTAGGCGAATGGAACAATTCTTGAATACATAGTTTATAGAGCATTTAATCACTCAGTTCACTCAGTTAATAAATAAAATTCACAAATTAACACACATCATACAGGTCAATAGTGTATTCACAAAGAGAAGAATAGTATTAGTATAGGCTTGGGCAAAAAATATCGAAATATCGATATATATCGTCATATTTTAAATCACGATATACCGATATTTTTTTAGAGTATCGAATTCGTATCAATTTCGATATATTTTAAAATGTTTTAGTAATGACAAAACATGTTACAACAAAAGGAGGTACAAAATTATTCATGTGTGATTGGTTGTCGTGTTTTGTTTCGTCGTCCAACCGTAAGTATTATAAAATTTTATATTATTTTTACATCATGCAAATGATGACAATATATCGATATTTATCACGCGATATATATCGATACAGTTTAAACATATCGATTCCATGTATATCGATATATTTATGCATTTTGTAATGCATTACCGATCCCTAATACATTATCTGTCTATTTATTAATTTTTATTACAGGCTTAATGGCTCTGGGTTCTAGCCTTTCTGAGCCTAAAGTTACAATTTATAATTATCCTTCTTAGTACACTGCTTCACAATACATTGATGCGTTACATTGTGCAGCCCTTGGGAGATTTCGACTGTAACTTGAGCCAGCAAACAGCTGACAATTGGCGATTGTATTTCAAAGCGCCTAAGACAGACACCTTCCTTATCTTGAGAATCACATCACCAACAGAGCACTTATTTCAACGTTTCGACTAATAGTTCACATGCGCAGACACTTAATACACAAAATCGCACCACTTTACATATCAAAATCCACTTCAAACCACAATTTAAACAATAATACAGGAACAGAAATCCACCTCCGGTCAAGTTTCCGCCAAAACTCCTGTATTAGGCCCTCTCCGCAGTGGTCAAATAAAACAATAAATGCTAAACGTGCTTGCCGGACTTTATTTCGCTAAATTATTCTATTCACCATCATTATCATTACAGCCCTACACAAGTCAACTGCAGAACTACAGACTCCCCCCAAAGAATGCCACAAAGCACGGTCCTGAGCCACCCGCATCCATCGACTTCTATCTTAACACGCCGTCACTCCGTCTTGAGGGGAGTCGCCCCATTCTTCGCCTACCAGTACGAGGATACCACTCGAAAATCTTGCTTTCCAAACGATTGTCGGTCCTTCGAGCTATGTGGCCAGCCCATTGCCACTTCAGCTTACTAATCCGTTGGGTTATGACGGTTACTCTGTTTCTACTGCGGATATTCTTATTCCTAAATTTATCAAGCATAGAAACTCCAAGCATAGACTTTTGCATAGCTCGCTGAGCCACCTTGTAATTCTCCATACGGCCAGCAGTTAAGGACCACGTCTCACGGCAGATAGATTTCTGGCAAAGACTTTGGAGCCCTGGTTCCACCCAATCGCTTCTTCAATACGAGTTGTATTGAAGTTGCGTAAGTCCCGCCGCATGCATTTGAAAATCTGTCTGTTCAGTTACCTTATGCTGTCAAATCTGCTGACTACGGCTTCATTTCTCATTTAACTGCCATGAGGTTAAGAGTGTGATCGGAGAGTTCTAGTGTTCTTCTGCGAAAGGTCTTCTAAAACTTAACTTGGACCGCATGTACAGTTTCCACGAGCAGTCTTCTAGGCACTGAAAACCATGTTGTAACTTAAACTGAATGTTTCCGGGATTTGGATCAGAGCAAGAGGACGACGGAGCGTTAGCTTCATTAGACGTGACCTATCCAACTTACTATTTAGGCTCAATGTGCCTCTCACCATTCGGTAATCACTGCCATTTTTCATCCTCGCAATCACTGAGTCATCACTGAACTTGCCGTCTAGTCGTCGTAATGAAGTCAATCTCATTTTTTGTCAGTTCTCAAACAGTTCCACTTTCTGTGAGACCACTTCTGAAAGAAAGATTTCATCACAAAGAGTTCCTCTTTCTCCATGAAGTCGGAAGCTGCTGGCCACTTGGATTCCCTTGGCCTATCCCCAATTTACCTTCGTTCTTTCTTGTGCGCACTTTTGCGCTGAAGTCTCCCATTAATACCGTATAGTGGGTTTTTGAGCAATGCATGGCTCTAGATATATCCTCATACATTTCCTCCACCTTCTCATCGGGATGGGCCGCGGTTGGTGTGTAAACCTGTATAACCTTCAGCAAATACCGTTTGGTGATTCTGAATATAAAGTACGCAGTCCTCGTCGACACACTCCCAATCTTTGCAACCTTGCTGTAACCAAAAGAGAGAGACTTTTGCGATAAATCCGACACCTCCTTGAGACAGATGGTGGTCTTCCCGGTGATAGAAAAAATTGCCGGATTCGAGGATTACCATGTCCTCCTTCTCTCTTCCGACCTCAAATAAGCCTATAATATCCCAACTTAACGTGTCTATCTCTTCCCCCAGCTCCAGGATCTTCTCGTAAGTAATAATTAGATAAAGATTTTAGCACCCCCTGCCCTGCCGTAACCCTGGTCGTCACCGTAGCCAAGAATAGCGGGGCCGCCGGGGACTGGGGCCATCTTTTTGTAACTCTCGCCATGGGCGGGTATAGTGCCATAGTTACCACGATTGGCAAGCGGGTTGTTGTTATTTACTTGTTATGAGAAAGACGCTGATATACATTAACTGCCTCATTTTCCGGTTAGGTGGGTTAGTGGATATTATTACATTGTCAAATATATTACATTATCAAAATTTACTTTCTTGACCTTTTCGATAGATAAAATGGAAAGATTGGTTAGTCGCGCTTGGCTCATTGTGGACCTTAAGAAAGATTTTATTAACTTGAGTTTTGAAAAGTTCTTTTCACGTAAAGTACCGAAACACAAATAGTTAAAAAAATCTTAGACAGCGCTAGATTCGGAACAGACTCAGAATAGCCCGACGACGATTTTACGATGAGTCTGATAAGCTCCAATGAAGTCCTACGGTACTAAAGAACATGTTATATAAATAAATCACTGATTGACTGTGTTTGTTGCTATGTGCGGTACCTTCTGCGATCGCTTTACTCACTCGACCAAGCGCTACCTAAGCTGAACTCATTTATTTAGGATATTAAATTATGTTCGAAAGTAAATAAAATCAATTTGCGATACATATTAAGTTTAAGATATATTATTTCGTGCAAGCAGGTACTTACTATATTAGATACCGATTTCCTTGTTCGCATGCCTTTACGGAGTAATTCTTTTGTAAGTTATATCGGGTTGTGCAAGTGAGTTGTCGTTGTCACCCCTTGGTGCGTGGCACTCGGGATGGACCGCCCCCACCGCCTCTCCCTTTACGCCCCCACTGCCTGTCCGTACTGCGATATTTCACAGCGCGATTTTTTTCTCGCAATCTTATAGGAGTAGCCGCACTGGCGGTGAAAAATCGGGCGTGGAAATTGAATGCGAATATTTTGTGCAGTATAAAGTAAGTATGGCTATGTCCGCACTGCGCGTGAAAATTCGCGCGTTTCACGTCTCTCTCCAGCTAAAATTCTTTTTGTCCAATTTGTATCTTGATAGGTAATAGCCCAACCAACATGTCGTAGTAAATTATCGAATGATTTCAGTCATTCTGTAATACCGGAAAAACATTTACTTGTATTTTCGCAGACTTTGATGTGTTTTGTAGAAAAATACTTTCATAGGTCTCAAGGCCATAAATTAGTGTAACCAATGTTCATGACATTTTTGATATGTCTATCACGCCGCTGCCGTAGTATCAGGTAAATTAAAAAAATCTGTTGTTCATTTTTAGACGTGCGTTTCAGCGGGGAACTGCATCGAACTGACAAAAGTCGTACGAAATTTTATACTGCGAGTACGTACTAGGTGTAATTCCTATAACGGAGTATAATACGCCAGAATAAATGTCGCGCGGTGAAATATCTAATATAAGAAATGTGAACTATTAGAGAAAACGAAACAAGTGCTTAGATATTGACATAAACCTCAAGTTATTTTGATCGTTTAGGCGCCTTATGAACTTGACTGTCCGCTCGGTTGAGTTGTGATCAAAATCTCCCAAAAACTACACAATTAGAATGAAAAAATCTGTTAAAACGAAGATCCCGAATAAAAATAAGATATGGCTTAAAGGACAGTCATCCAAGCCAAAAATCTTAATGCTATATTATCTACTATCTAGTTTTTATTTATAAATATTAAATAGTAGGTGTCAAAGAGTATAATAACTGTCCTAGTAGGAGTTTAGGCGGGAACTTGACCGGCGGCAGTTTGCTGCTCCTGTATTATTGTTTAAGTAATGGTTTCAAGTGGACTTTGATATGTAAAAGTGGTGCGATTTTGTGTATTAAGTGTCTGCGCACGGAACTATTAGTGGAAATTGTGAAACAAGTGCTCTGATGGTGATGTGATTCTCAAAATAAGGTGTCTGTCTGCTTAGGCGCCTTGAGATACCATCGTCAACCGTCAGCTGTCTGCTGGCTCAAGTTGCCGTCAAAATACCCCAAGGGCTGCACAATGTGACGCATCAACATATTGTGAAGCAGTATACTATGAAGGATAATTATTATAATATATTGTAACTTCAGGGTTCAGGCTCAGAAGGGCTAGATCCCAGAGCCATAAAGCCAGTTATTAAGAAGAGAAGAAGTTATAAATAGTAAAATAAATAAAATAAAATACCACAGAACATGTAATACCCTAAAATATTAATCAATACTAATAATTAATAAATTACCTACCTATGTACTTAATTAAATAATGCAAGAGAAGATAAGATAAATTACTCAATGTGCAAAACATCGATGTAGCTTTTTATCGGCGTTCTTGGTCCCTCCCTGCCCTGCTGTAAAGTAATGCAGCATTTGAGACTGAGTACGTTGGATATAATGTGATTTTAATTTGAGCGTAAGTATTAGGTAATTATTTCATTATTCATTTTAATTAAAGGTGTGAAAAAGTAAAACCAGCAACAATAGCTTGTTAAATAATATGGATGAAGAAGAAGAATATGTAGAAAATACCTGGAATTATATTATTTTATGCGGTGAACCAACACTGTACGAAGGCCTTCGATTCGCTAGAGACATAATTATTGCTAATCTTGCCTTACGTTTTATTATACAGTTTATTCCTTTGCCACATTTTGTTCGTCATTGTTTATCCCTTCTTATTGGAAGTTTTTTGTTGTATTACAATGTTGGTATAGCATTTATATGGACAATTGGGCTTACTAGTGGTGCTTATATTTTGATAATTTTAATATCATTTATAACAAATAATTATAGAGGGTTTATTGTTACTACTTTTGTGATAACATTTCTATTGTTATGCGAAGTTTATGTTATAAATCCAAAAATGTGGCAGCAAATAAGAGGAATCCAAATGGTTGCAGCAATGAAAATTATATCTGTAGCTATTGATTTAGATAGAGGTTTATTTAAACATACTTTAAATCCTGTTGAGTTTGGAGGATATTTAATGTGTCCAGCTAATAATATATTGGGACCATGGATACCATTTCACATGTATACCTCTTATCTAAATGTAAAATTTTTGTGTCGCAGATGGATTATGCTTATAGTTTATAATCTGTTTTTATCAATGCTCTTTTTGATTTTATCAAATTGCATCATTCCTTGGTATATAGATGATGAAACAAGCAAATGGTTAGTTGCATATAGAGATGCTCAAGCATTTAGAATGTCACATTATTTTGTGTCTAGTATGTCTATTGTTTCTATGTTAAGTGCTGGGTTTGCCATAACTAATGATTGCCACTCTGATATTCAAGTCACAAAGCCTGTCTTAATTGAATTGCCTAGATCATTAGTTCAAGTTGTGATTTTCTGGAACATACCTATGCATCAATGGTTGAAGAATTACATATTCAAAACATGTCAACCGTATGGTCAATTTGTAGCAATATTAACAACTTATGCAATATCATCACTTCTGCATGGTCTTAATTTTCAGTTGTCTGCTGTTCTTCTTAGCATAGGAACATTTTCTTATGTGGAATATAATTTAAGATACAAAATTGCATTAGCATTAGAAGTATGCTGTTTGGCTAATCCTTGTGCAAAACAGTGTGAACATAGGTTTAAAAAAAACAGCTTTTTGGCAGTTTTTATAAACACAATATTTTCATTGATTACTGTCATGCACCTTGCTTATTTAGGAGTTATGTTTGAAGCATCATTTTCTGTTCAGGAATCTGGATACTCATACTATCACACTATAAGTAAATGGGAAAATCTTAACTATTTCAGCCATGGTTTTGTAGCATTTTTGTACATTATTTATCTTATGATGTGATTATAATATTAATAGTATTGTGTACATACATTTATATACTAAGCAAATAATGATCTTTTACAGTATTAATTTGTTATCAAAACTTGTGTGAAATAAAATTATATTTATTTTAATTTAAGTACTCTTTGGATGCAGATATGACATTTTGGACAATTCTTCCAATACATTCCCACCAGTCCAAACAAATATAATAATGACTTGTATGTTACTGCCACACTTTGACTGCAAAATTATCATGGTTACAACGTACATACAGAAGGTTTGCTGATACTGTCATAACGTCAAACCTTGATTGAAGTATTACTAGCAGTACTGTGCAGGAAAGTGCATAATGCAGTTTACAAAAGTAGGAGAGGTGATTATCGGCAAACCATCTGAACATGGTTTATACACACAGAAGGTTTGCTGATACTGTCATAACGTCAAACTTGATTGAAGTATTACTAGCAGTACTGTGCAGAAAAGTGTGTAATGCAGTTTGCAAAAGTAGGAGAGGTGATTATCGGCAAATCATCTGAACATGGTTATAGTAATTTACTTATTAAGGCATGATAATAAAACAGTGTTTATTAAAGTATCATTAATTATTATATTTCAATTAGCATAACTGTTAAGAAAAAAATAACTTCCAAAATCTGATTTCAACCAAGCTACAATAATTTTTTTTTTCTAACTTTTTCTTTTTTATGTTTAGAAATATCTTGACATTACTAAAGCAATTTAATGTTTATAAATTATATTAAGTTTCAAAAGAATTAAATATTTTTTAAGGACTGATATATCCTTAAAAATTACTAAAGTATTAGTTTTTTAATAAGTATAGCTTATTCAATAGGAATAAAAGTAGTTATTTTTATGCAGATTGTTTATTGTACTATTTTTTAAGTCTCTCTAATAAATATATGTAGGAGCATTAACTTTTAATAATAAAATTTTTATCATAGGTTCCGATTTAATCACTAATTTGGCATAATCACTTTTAAGTATTTTTGTATGATGGCTCAAAGCCAAGTAATAAACCCATCACATACAATAAAATGTCTTTTTATTTGCTTTTCATGTGTCCTTACAACCACTTCATATGTTGCATCTCCAGCATACATCATATGAATTCTATAATTCAATTGTTCTAGAGTTTGAAATTCAAAGCATGGCTCAAGGTTTTCTATAACTTCCTTAGTTGACGAAAAATATTCAGGCCTTGTATATAATACAGTTACTTTATAATCTTTTGTGACCTTTTGTATGATTCTAAGTAAATTTTTTATATACAAATCCATTTTTGTAATTTTGTAACTTTGTTCTGACCAGTAAAAAGCTGTTAATGTATCAAAAATTACAAGTGATATACTGGAATGTTTTGAAAGCACACTTTCCAAATTTTGTATTGTAATGGAAAACTGAGTGGCATCAAATATTTCCACAAAAAACATTTTTTTTAGGGCCACCTGTAAAGCATTATCTACATAGTAATCGATCTTAGATTCACATACGCCTTTTTTAATAGAGGTTAAAAGTTTTTTTTTCAAACTTTCCACTATTATCATAAAATCCAAATTTCCATCAGTATTAAAAATTAAAATACTTCCCTCCACACCCCCTAATTCCACGGGCAGTAATAATTCGCAAATAATATCTAAAAGTAGGCAAGAATTACCTGCGTTACTAAATAATTCAATTATATCGCCCTGTTTTGGCCCTTTCTCAAATAACATTGGATAAAAGTTTTCTATTCCCGGTTTCTTCAATAACCTTGTAAGTAGTTGTATACCGGTCTCAAGTTTAAAATTAATAGCCATGTTGTTAATTAAGTAAGAATGATAAAATTTGTGTTATTTACAATATAGTGGATCGTATACTTATTAATATTTCCTGTATATTTTTTTAGTAGTAAAAGTACATAACACCTCGATTCTCGAATATGTACCTATTTATGTAAGTACTCGTATTTAGGTACATGAATATATTATATTAACACATATCCAATTTGTATAATCTTATCTTTGCTAATAAAAATAAACTGATAAACATTATAGATAAATTTTATTAAAAAAAAATATTTAAATTTAAAAAATACATAAACATATAGCCATGGATTATCTATACTCCATGATTATAGGTTTTTTTTTATAACGGGCTTTACGCCTTTGGGTTCTAGCCCTTCTGAGCATGAAGTTGAAATGTATAATAAATTATCCTTCATAGTACACTGCTTCACAATATGTTGATGCGTCACATTGCAGCCCTTGGGAGATTTTGACGGCAACTTGAGCCAACAGACAGCTGACAGCTGGCGAAGGTATCTCAAAGCGCCTAATCAGACAGACACCTTATTTTGAGAATCACATCACCATTAGAGCACTTGTTTCACCGTTTCCACTAATAGTTCACATGTGCAGATAATACAAAAAATCGCACCACTTTTACATATCAAAATCCACTTCAAACCATTATATAATCAATAACAAGAGCAGCAAACCGCCGCCGGTCAAGTTCTCCTGATTCACACAAATTACTTTGTATAGTCTATGAATAAACAGCCCCTTTAGGTTTATAAATGTTCTGTGATAAACATGCTATTAAATTAAGTCAAGTAAATTATGTAATTATCCTTTTTAATAATTTGTTCAAAAACTTCTTCACAATATATTATGTCAATGCGTCGTATTGAGAAATTTTTGGGAGATTAAAAATTGACCAGCTTGAGCCAGCAGACAATTGATCACGACAGTATCTCAAGGCGCCTAAACAGACATTATTGTGAGGTTCACATCACCATCGGATCACCTTGTTTCATCGTTTGCACTGATAATTCACGTGAATACACACATAATATCTATTTTCTACGTGGTAGAGCCATGCTGCAGCTATATTATGGTTGTAGCACGAATGGGTCGGCTCGACCGGGGAAGGACCACGCTCTCACAGAATACCAGCGTAAAATAGTAGCTTAACGCTGCTGTGTTTCGTATGGTGAGTGTAGAGAACCGGTGACCCTTTTTACTGGAAACGAGGCATTCCATTTTAGTCCTCATGGGTGACAACGCATCTGCATTTTGATTCTTAATCGAAGATAGATGTAGATGTCTATGGGCCACAGCATCCACTTACCATCAGGTGGACTGTGTACTCGTTTGTCACCCTTATCCTATAAAAAAAAAAAAAAAAAAAAAAAAACCATTTTTACATATCAAAATTACTTCAAACCTTTAAAGACATTATTACAGGAGCAGCGAACTCAGCTTGCGGGCTGCGGTCAATATCCCGCCAAAATCCCCTTCTAAAATTATGTTGTGCAGTGTAGTATTTATACAATGTACTCAGTGGTCGTAGTACTATTATTTAATCTGCCACAAACTACATAATCATAGACATAGTATCTTATAGACTAAACATTCAGTGACGTCATCAACGTGTGAAAGGAATGCACGTATAAAGTTAGACATAAGAGTAAGGGAGAAGCAAATCTATATTTCTTGTCTTTTTCTAGGTATACGTTTTTGATTGCTTTCCCTCCTTTATTTGACATTAACGATGTCAAGCTCTTTGGAATAATATTGATATTATAAGCAAACAGGTAATTCAATTTAGTGTTTTTTATGGAGCTTAGTTATTAGGTAAGGTGAAAAAGACGGTAAGTTGTAGCATTTTAGGACGCAACAGCATCAGTCAACGAAAAATTGATAATATTACCTTTCATCGGTAAATTTATTTTGTGCTTACATTTGCTATTTGTACTGATTAATATCTATTGTTTTGAATATAAAGTGTAACATTTCATGTTTTTAATGAACTTTGTGATGTATTTTGTCAAATATTTGGACTCCCAAATTGTAAATTCTTCATGATAATGCTCCTTAATTTGAACGGTCATTCGAAAGCTTAAAGTCATAACAAACGTGTACTTTTTGATTTGGTAGGATTATAGAAACTTTAGGGATATCAGCGAGTACAATAATGTTTTCCCATTGTTCAATACTAATTGTTATTGTGATTAGTAGTTATGTCCATAAATATTAATCACATAATGTTATACATATACATACATTTTATGTTCAGCTTTAAAGGAAACTCCTTATTGCCCTACAACTCTTCAATCATTTTCCATATTACATAGACTTCACAAATAATATGTAAGTATCAACCTGAAAACATGTTTGGATTCAAGTACATAAATATTGGGCAAAGTATATTTAATTTCACAAAATATGTATTGCCTGAAATCAGATGCACAAAACTTTATTGCATTCCATTAATTCTATTATACATTAGCAACAATTACATTACAATATTTATTAAAAAAATATGTCATGCTAATATAAAAATAAATATAAATATAGATAAAATAATAAATAAAAAAAAATAAGTCTTAATCTTAAGGTACACAATAACACAACAACATAAGATTATTTTCTCAATTAATGATGTAGAAAAAATTTGATGATAATATACTTACTGTTACCATTAGTCAGTATCAAAAGTTATAGGTTTTGTGATAGTTGCCTAGCTTGGCAGGAGAATTGGCAACTGCAGTTATTTGGAGACAAACTGTGTAGGAGGTCTATGTTCAGCGGTGGAGGACATTTGTTAGGCTGTAAATGTATTAATTAACAATTTCTAAAGCTTAATATGTACATAATTTTTTTAAATGTTTGGTATGAATAATATTATCATTACATTTACATATACTTGCTATTTAATTAAATCAATTGATATTGTTTTAATTGTTATAGGTATTGTATTTATGCACAGGTACAATTACTTGATTTTTTTTTGTTAAATACCTTGATATAAAAGGGTACTATATATTTAATATATTAATTTCTTTTAAATATATTATTTCACAGCTTTCCTAAGGGATCAGCTATCCGTAACAGTTGGATAATCGCTACTGGTAGTGCTTATAGGTAACCAACAAAACTTAGCAGTGTATGCTCAAAAAATTTTAAGCCTCATTGTTTTAGGTGGACTAAATATGCTTAACTTATGTAATTTATAATATAATTAAGATAATTTTTTTAAATGTTATAATTTCTTGTTGTATCTTGTTGTTTCTCCATAAGTGATATAAGTTAGATCTTGTTGGTAGTTATGATTTTTGACATTGTTCTGTATGTATTAAAAATTGACTAGCATTGCTTATTTTATTTTCAAATGCTGACATTCTGTATTATTATGACTTATAATAATTGGGTGGCATGACAATGACAAAATATTTACTTATAGATGTATTGATTAAACATGAATCCTCATTAACAAATGTTGGAACTTTATCTGTACTACCATGTTTTATGCAAATAAAGATTTAAATAAAATAAATAAATAAGTAATTTAAAGTTCTGACCTAAATATACAAATGAATAATTTATTATGCAATAATAATTGTAAAACTGACTGGGAATGCCTACCAATGGGACATTTAGTCCACCCTTAATCCCTTTTATAAAGGTGTTATAAACATTAATGTGTAAATAAATTAAGAAATAATAATTTATAATATTAATTAAGAAATAAGAGATAAGTATTACCTATCTAAGTATAGTTTAGGAGTTGTACCTTATTATTTATACCATTAAAATATATTATATACTTTACTTTACTTTACTTTACTTATCTTCACGCACAATCCCTGACGGGGTAGCCAGAGAGAACAGATCGCCAAGTGTCACGATCCTTACAAACCTCTTTCGCTTCTTTCAGATTCATTATCTTCTTCATGCATGCACGTCTAGGTATCCGAGTACTTTTGACCCTACCCTCTTCGAGCAATTTGCTCACATGGTCTTCGAAAGTTAGTCTCGGTCTACCTCGACACCTTTTAATATTAACTTTCGCGCTATATATTTTCTTCACCATTCGGTCTTCACTCATTCGCTCAACGTGCCCAAACCACCGAAGCACGCCCTTATCAATTTTTGTGATAAGGTCATCTTTCAAACCTGCCATATTGCGAATCTCTTCGTTTCGCTTTCGGTCGGCCATGGTAACGCCGCACATTTTACGAAGAGATCGCATCTCCACTGCATTCAACTTACTTTTATGCTTCTTCTGGCATACCCAGGTTTCGCTGCCATATAACAAAGTCGGTACCAACACTGCGTTATGTATTGCAAGGCGTGCACTCTTCGCTACGCCTTGCCTTTTGACTAACGCAGTCAGGGCACCATTGACTTTGTTCCCGGCAGCGACACGCCTGTCCACATCTAAATCACATCTTCCATCCCGGCTAAAAGCACTCCCCAAGTATACAATTTCATTTACCTGTTCTAGACATTCCTGATTTACCCATATTTCACACTTCGTTCTCTCTTCGTCCCTTTCAAATACCAGAACCTTAGTTTTATTAGCATTCAAACGGAGACCTTTAATTTCACATTCCTCTTTCATACACGTGACTAATGCCTGCAGTTCTGCCTCTGATTGTGCAATAAGCACTGCATCATCAGCATACAGCAGACAATTTACTTTAATGTCACCCAATTTCACACCCAAACAACTATCTTTCAGCTTCTGTAAACAGCTGTCGAGATACAGTATGAACAGCCAGGAAGACATGACACAACCCTGCTTTACGCCCGTTTGGACGTCAAACATGGGTGACAGGTCATGCCCTACCCGCACACAGGCTTTACAGTCACAGTAAAGAGACTGCACAGCCCTTAACAATCGAGCATCCACACCATACCCCGGCAACAGTTCCCACATTTTCTTCCTTACAACCTTATCAAATGCTTTCTCAAGATCCACAAAAGCACAGAAAATCTTCTGGTTAGCAGCCAGAAGCTTTTCCGTGATCATG